AGAAAATTTGTGAGCCTTGACCACGGAGGTGATCCAAGGAAATCAGCCGCTGCCACGCGGGCGAAAACATCAGCCCACATATTACCGAAAAAATGCTCCAGGGGCTCCTGGGAGGCCAGGCAGGCCTCAAACCCCTCGAGGACGGTCCGATGGGCCTTCGTCCAAACAACCACGGGCCTGACAGGGTCGCCTCTATACAGCTCGTGGATGCTCCGCCAGATGGACGCGTGAGGCGCTCTGGCAGAAGCATGACGACCCTCCCAGGCCATTCCCTCGACCTGCTGCTGTAAATGATCAGTCACGTACGTGGCTGGCCTCTGGGCCCTCTGCAGGGCCTTGAGACCAGCAACGCGCTCGGCCCTGGGCACCGTCTGGATAGGGCCCCCAGGCTCCCGAACAAAGCTTTGTATGGCCACAGGTCTCGGGTCAATGCTACGACGGCCCAGCCACAGCGCCGTTCCTCAGGGAAATCACTTTCAAGACAGGACCCGTCCCCGTGCAACTTCGACGGCCACGGCATGTCGATCGCCCCCCACTCGCGCTCAGCCTGAGCACGTGCAGGCAGCGGCCTGAAAGCAGGCCTCAGGGGCAGCGCGTAGAGCACGTCGACGGACGAGAAGTCCTGCACCTGGCCCCCGTCGCGCCACGGGGCTGCCTCCAGGATGTCCTTCCTCCTCTTGGCCACCTCCTCGGGGTACGGCTCCGTCTCCTCGTCCTCCTGCTGCTGATGCAATACCGTGCAGCCGAAGATCTCATGCTCGAGGTCGCAGCAGGCCTCCCCGCAGAACTCGCACGAACCGTCGCCGCCGTAGCCAGCCTGCATGCGGCGCTGCGGCGACCAGAACCCGTTGGACTGCAGCTTGGCCAGAGCCCCTCTGTGGCCAGGCGCCAAGGAGGCGTGTCCCAGTCGAAGCGCACGAAGCCACACATGCTGCTGCCGCCTGCCGTCACCCTCGGCTGGGGGCGCCTCAGGCAGCTGGTCGAGGATACGATGGCTCTGCCAACGGTCGAGGCTGCGACGCAGGAAAAACAGCACCTCACTGGGACAATACTGCAGCAAACTGATATGCAGGCCCTCATCGTCAACCAAGATTGTAGAACTTGCCATGTTCCAGTTGACTCTCCTGAGGGGCAACCACAAGGCCGAAAGCGGGCCCTGCGCACTGGCCCACGTGACGTGAGTGTGGCGGGCTTCCCAGGAGTCACGCAAGCCCATCCAGGCCCGCTGCAGTCGGGAGAGCGTCACACGCCCATCCCACACCCACGCCGCGTACTGCCCCACGATGCTGAAGGTAGCGTGGAATATGGGGTCGAAGCTCCACTGCTGCGCGGCCAGGTACAGCGTCAGGGAGCCCGACCCTTTGTAGCCACAGAAGACGCCAGCCATGGTCCTCATCTGCTGCAGCTCCGTGTCGCTGATGCCGCTGACCGTGGCTCCGTGCCCCACGGATGGCAGCACACCCGTGGCCCAGAGCCGAGCCGCCCGCTGTCGTCCTGCTCCCTTCTGCAGTGCTCGAACGCTTGCCTTCTTTCCGTGCATGGCCTTCAGGCGTCCCTTCTGCACGGCCCTTGTGGCCGACGACCCAGCTAGGTCGTGGCCAAGATACCGCATGTGCCTCTTGCCAGCGATCTTCAGCAGCCTGGCGTACTTCTGAAAATGGTAGCTGGTGCGCCTGGACGTCGTAAGGTGCCCAGACTTATCCATCTGCAGCACCAGCCCGAGGGGCCGGACAGCCCTGCAGAAAGCACGAGTGGCAATGGCCATTTCTCGCACCCCGCTCGGGTCGTTGCCGACCCAGCACAGCGCGACGTCGTCCACCAAGTCCTTGGGCTGAACCTGAGGAGCGACCGACATCGTCTGGCGAATGCTGCGAGTCAACAACACCATGGGAAGCGTAGTGGCGTGGGTGCAGCCTGCCAGGATGCCCTGATACGCCCTGCGCGCCACTGAATACGAAGAATACGAGTGCACCGAGCGCAGCTGCTGGTACATCTGCACAAGCATGAACGCCATTCGCATAGGGTATCCACTGGCCCTGCACTCCAACAAAATGGCATCATGCCTGACCAGCTCGTAGCATTTGAGCATGTCCAGCAGCACAATGATGGCGTCGTCATCGCACAGGGTCGCCATCTCCTTGGTGAGCGCCAAATCAAAGGCCGCATCACTCGACGACTTGCCTCCAGTGTGGCCCCAGACCTCTGGTAGCGCATGGGCCTTCTCCACGCTGCCGAGACAGGCCGCCTCGCCCGTCCCCAGATCCTGACCAGCGTGTTCATCAGCACAATCAGGCGCTCCCCACCCCCTGGCTTGGGGAGTCTCACGAGCTTCGAGAGGAATCTGCCGTCTGGCCACAGCAGGAACTGCTCGCACCGCTCGAAGAGGCGCGCCATGGCCGTCAGCGCCCCGTGGGAGAGGTGCTCCATGGCCCTGGGCGCGATGTTGATCTGCCCGACGCCTGTCTGCCAAGAGAAACAACGGATTGCCTTGAGTACGTCGGCCGCCTCACGCCTTGGCAGCTGCTCCCAAGTGTCAGCATCAACAGGTCGGCGAGCCAGCTCACCGCCATGCCGCACCCAGAAGCTTTCCCAATACTCAAGCTTACGATCAGCCAGTACGTACCCATGTTGTAGCCCATTGCCTCCGTCCACGATCTCCTGGAGAGCCTTGGGCTTCATGAAACGGTGAGCTCCCTTGGCTCCAGCCGCAAAAGCTGCCTGCGCCCACTGCCTCCAGCTCTGCATCACGGCCTTCTCATGCTTGGCCTCAGCATCGGAGGAGATACTCAGGATGCGGTCGACCTGCTGCTCGAAGTCTGCCTGCGCTAAGGCAAGTAAGCCACGCGAGAAGAAGCCGACGGCTTCGGCGTCCAGGTGCGGCCAGACTCCCTTCCTCCGCCAGATTCTCTGGAAGAAATTCTCGCACTCCAGCAGGTGGCGCGCCGCCTGGGAGTGCACGGCGTCCCACGATAGGTCCTCGCCTGCCCGTCGCGGGGGCTGGTGTCGCTGAGCTCTCGACCGAGGCCGACCACCATCGGAGGAGAGACCAGCCACACCGACGACCTCCGCAGCAGGGGGTGCCCCATCGCCCAGGCCAGGCACACCGTCGACGTGCGCCTCGCCGACGCTGCCGAGCTCGAAGACCTGCTGCGGGCGTAGCTGGAGCACGAAGCTCTGCAAGGCCAATCGAACCCTCCTGAGGTGACGAGCCCAGCGCGCAGCCTGCGCCCAGGCCTGGGTGTCCGCCGACCTCCTGCTCCAGGCACCTTTCACGACAGGGTGAAAACTCGCCAGCTCGAAGGTCGGGGGGCCTGGCACCGTGGAGTACCCCGCCACGTCCGTCACGACGTCGTAGCGGCCCCGCAGCTCGAACTCGATGCCGCTGAGCACGACGTCCCAGGCCCTGGTGATGCCCTCGCTGTCCGACGCGCTCTGGATGATCGCCAAGGCCGGGTCCCAGTCGGGGGGGAACCTCGCGCACCCCGCCGCAGGCGGCCTCCGAAAGCCGCGTGGCTCGACAAGCCTCCTGACCTTCGCGTCAAAAGCCGTGGCGGAGAGCTCCATGGTCACTGGTAGATGCGGCCACGTCTCCGCGTCGACGACCACTGGTTGCCGAACACGAGGCAGCAAACGGCAAGAAACCATGAACATGTCAATGGTGCGGCCAGGAAGGCTCTGAAGACAAGTCGGCTCTCTCGGCGCCAGCACCACGCCATTGGCCGACTGGAGCCAGGACAACGGGCCGAGCTCGCCCACCTCCATGTTGAAGTCGCCTCCTACGATCCACGGAACACCCATGGCCTCCAGCGACCTGACATACTGGTACAGCTTGCACAGCATGGCCAGGTTCTCGGGCGACAGCTTGACGTCCACAATGAAATAGCACGACAGCATGACGAAGCCGCCCTTCACCCCAGCGTGGACGTGGGCCGCCATCATCCTGCCTTCCTGCAGCACGTGACTATCCAGGCCTGGGGGTTTGGTGATGACCACCCGCAGCGGGGCCAGCACCGCAACCCCGCCTCTGCTGCCAACTCCCTGCCCAGGTAGGGCGGGCTCCCATATACCATGGTACCCAGCAGCTCTTACTTTATTCTGCAACTTCGCCAAAGCATCGCCCTCGGCCTCGGCATGATGTTCCTGCACCGCGATGCATAAACTCGAGCACGTGGGCAGGAAGTCGACGAGCGGGCCGCCCGAAGACACGTTCACGGCGGTGATACTTGAAACCGACGCCATGGTGCGACAAAGGAGGACGAACCACACAAGACACGCAAAACATCGCCGTGGAGCCATGCTAGGCAGGGGTGAGCCTGGGCCTCTTGACCTTGGCACCCCAACGCATGAAGATCTCCTCCAGCCTGTGCTTCTCGCCCCCAGCCGCAACGACTTCCTCCATGAACTCAGGGTCGTCGGAGAAGGCAGATGGCTGTGGTGTGCGAGGCGCTGCCGCGTCGTCCTGCCGCTCGGCCTGCTCGACGTCGGGACCAGCCTCGGCCCCAGCATCCGCCTGCGCCTTCTGGGCAGCCAACTTTGCCGCCTCCTCCTCCTGCAACCTCTGCAGCTCCTGGAAGCTCGCCGCGAGGCTGCCCGACAGCTGGTGATCGGCGCCCAGGCTCTGGAGCAAGATCCCGAGGCCCTCGAGCGTGGCACCAACCCCCTTGATCGGCTCGTCGAGCGACGCCTTGTCGCCAGGCGTCGGAACCTGCCCTTGAAGCCTCTTGCGCTCCTGGTCCAGCTCCTCCATGCTAGCGTCGAGGGCCGCCAGCTTGTCCCGAGTGAGCCGTTCCTTCTCCTGCAGGTCGCGCAACTGCACCTGCAGCCCATCGAGCTTGGTCTGCTGGTCGTCGCGCAGCTTCTGCAGCCTGGTGAACTGAGTTCCCATCTCGCGCAAGCGCTGTCCGAGCGGTCGGGACTCCGCCACCCTAGCCCGCAGCTCGGCCTGCTCGGCCAGCAGCTTGTCGCGCGTGGCCACGACCGACGGCTCGGTGATGCCCTTGAGCTTGCCGATGAGGTCGCCGACCTCGCGTAGCCTGTCCTTGGCGACGGACTCGGGGCCGTCTCCGTCCGCGGCCGGCTCCATCTGCACGTCCTCCCCGCCAGGCGGCGGCCTCTGCACAGCGGCAAGCCGCTTGCGGGCCTCGGCGAGCTCGGACTTGAGCTTGGCCACCTTGACGGAGTCGTCCCAGTAGCCGTTGCCGCTGCCGCCCTGATTGCCCTTCTTCCGCTGGGAGGGGGCCGCGGGCTGGCGCACGCTGTGGAAGACCAGTCCCTTGCCCAGCTTGCACTTCGCACACTGCCGCGCCTCTGCATGATTCCACCACGGTCTCCCCGAAGGCCCGCAGCAGCTCTTGCAGTACCAAGGAAGCGCCTGCTCCGAACGGTAATGCGGCGGTGGCATCTCCACGACCCCAGGCAGCAGCACACACGGTGGGCCGTGGCAGCGCGATCTGGAAAGGACTGGGTGTGGGCGCCCAACTCCCACGGTGAAGGCGAACGGTGGTCTGGCCGCGGACTAGCGGTATCCGTGCGGTCCCCAGGGGAACCAATCATCTTGAGCCAAAATGGCTACTGGAGAAGGACAATTGATGGAGGATACGAAGGGAGACCAAGAACAGGAACATGAATGAGGATGAGTTTGGGAATTTTTGATTTTATTTTTTTTTTTATTTGTTGAAAATTTTATTATTTGTTTGTTTATTTTTTGTTTTTAAATTTCTATTTTATTTTTTGGTTTTGCTTATACGGGGTTGGGGGGGTGGGTTATTTTTTTTTTTTTGTTAATTTCATTTATGGGGGGGGGGTCGGTCTGTTTGTGGGGGTCCTTTTTCCTCGCTCCCCTGCTCTAGCTGAGGGGGGGAGGTTGAGGAGAGCGAGGGGGGGGGGGGGGAAGGCGCGAGGGGGTTTTGAGAGAGGGGAGGAGAGGGGAGGAGGGGGGGGGTGAAGTTCGTCTAAGAGCTGTGGGAGGAGCTGAGGGGCGGATGGGGAGGAGGGAGGAGCGAGAGGAGGGGAGGGGAGGAGTACACAAGAACACCAGGAGGAACAAAGGAACAGGGCTGGGCGATGAGCACAAACATGGGAGAAGGAAGCGAGAATCCATACTGACAATGACACTGACACTGGCACAGGCACTGACACTGCGCCCCCACGTCACACGGGACGGCCCTGCGAGGGGCGGGGCGGTGGCGCCTCGGCGCCGACAAATATGCAACGTAGTCTCACGCTGGGGAAGGGGTGGAAAAAGAGGAGGAGGAGGAGCCGGCCGCCAGGTCCATTCACCTTGTATTTGCCACTGCCGCTGCACATAGGGTTCCTCCAATTGCGATCATCGAACACTATCCGGCGCAATGTTTCGCGAATCCTCTCCAGAAACTGCGTGGATAAGTTTTGCCACGTCGTCGAGCCAGCTTTTGTTGGGTCGACGCGGTAAGCTTTTTGTACGCGTGCTGGTTGTGGTTGGGTGCCATAATATAGCCTTGCGGCCCAATTTGCCCACGACGTCGTTGATCGTCGCCACAAACAACCTCCACTGTATTCGCCGTTGCGGTGTGCACCAATCTTCATACCCCACGTAGTGGCAATACCCTTCAACTTGCCTTGTCGCACGCTTAATCCAATCGACCCATGGTTCGAGAGGGTCCGCAGGGGTAAACGAGCTCGATGGTGTGGTTGCGCTGCCAGTGCTGGTGCACGTGTCGCTGCTGTCGGAGTCGCTGTCTGCAGTGGTGTTGGTTCCGTCGCAAAGTTGTTTCTCTTCTGGTGCTTCTGGCCCACGGCGTCGCAATGACCCAACAACCATTCTGAGCATTTGTCGTTGCGTGGGTCGTACGTACTCGCGAGCCCAACGGGATTGTCATCGCCCGCGGGCTGGAGTCATAAAAGTAGCGTCAGAACAACAGTGCCGTTGAACAATCGGAGCCGGTCTTTTAGACAGTACGATCGTGTAGTAAGCTCGTGCTTGAAACCACAGAACCTCTTCCATGCCGCTCTGATATTGGCCTCAACCTCGGTCGCACTCGGTTCAGAGAAACTAAGCTGACGTCCCAAATATATCTGCGTCGTGGAGAAAGACAATACCTCGATGCCGCTTCCGTTGGTAACCACATGCTCGGGGCTGTCTCGCGGCCTCCTGGCTCGCATATTATGCAGTATCTTCGTTTTCCCAGGGTGCATCTCCTAACCAGTGGGCTGTGCAGCACTCATTACGTCAGATGTCATATTGTTTTAGCTGCTTTAACGACCTTGACAGTAAGAGAACGTCGTCTGCAAAGTGCTCGTAAACCGCCAAGTGTATGCCGTAGCGCCGGTCGGCCCACTTTAGTTGGAAGTTGGAATTGATTGAACACGAGAGGAGGCGATGGTAGCTCTAGAGGAGGCGCTGGTAGCACAAGGAGCAGAAGCAGGAGCAGAAACAGTCAGAATAGTCCTCCTCCTCTTCCTTCAGATTTCCCCGGATATGTGTTGATGCTCTCCTGGGGCGCTCTGGGTCACTCAGCCGTTACCAACCTTTCCAATGTGATGTTCTAACATGAGTAGCTGGTGGTTGAAGGCCGTGCAGGTGCGGCTCCCCCTTGGTGCTGCCTTCATGCTGTCCTGATCCCTCCAGCCTCCCCCATCGTCCTCACTCCCCAAACTTCTCCCCCTACTGCCCCCCCCCGTCCCCTCCCCCTCTTCAGACATCGGCTTTGGCGCCCTCACGGCTGCGCCGCGAGCAGAACTTTGAAGCACACCCAGCCCTGGCAACAGAAGGCCCTCCTGGGCTGGAGATGGTCCTGGATCGCTCCAGGGATCCATCTCGGCCCGCCTTTCGCCCTTGGGACCGTTTGGGGGGGGGGGCGCCAAGGGGGCCCCCAGAGGCCGAAAACGGCAACGGAACTTCCTCGATCGCCGAGCCCTCCATCCCCCCCCTCCTTCCCTCCCTCCCTCAAGCATCGGCCTCGGGAGCGGCCAAGCGGGGGCTGTCGAAGAGTGTGGGGGGAGTGCAAAGCATGGCTGGCGGCATGTGCGCAGACCAGGGGGGGGGCGGCCAGGGACGTATTGGAACAACAAGAAACAAGAGGCGCCATGAAATCTGGGGAGATGTCATTGGCCCCGCCATGATTTCCAGCCCCCCCTAGTCAATACCCCTCTCTTGGCCGCCCCCGATCTGACTAGGGTTTCGGGGCGGATCCAGCCGTGGCGAGAGGACGCCCCAGGACGGACCAAATAAGCGAAAGGCCTTGTCCTCGGACGCCCAGCTTCGCGCATCGCGCCCTGCCAAGCCATATGCGCGGTCGAGGTCCCGTGCGGTACGTTCGTGTCGTGCCAACCGTGGCGTCGGCTTTGGACACCGCGCTGGATCGTTCAACCTTGAACAATCGGCCGTTTCCGACACGTCAGAGCGTGCAACATTCGGCGGTGGACAAACCTCCCTTTAGTAAACCTCCCTCAAGAATGAAAACTGCCTTGGACCGAAACCGACGGACCTGGACCCGCAAAAATGACGGCCGCGACGCCTTCTCGCGAACCGAAAACGGCCAATTCACTAACGAATCGACTGTCAGGGTAGGAGGTCTATAAAACTCCGAAACATCGACCGATTCTGGTTCGCCGGCGGCGTTCAACGTTCAACGCCAGCGGCGAGGTCGCCGCCGGTCGACACGACGCGGACCTATACCGTAGACGGGGACTCTGCCACGCAAGCCAAGACATAATTGGCGCACCCGAGAGAAACTGCAGCCTTGGGGCACATTCCCTCCGTCGTTCTCGCACGCCAGGTTTGGCAGAGTCCTGGTCGGCAAGGTGGAGGGAGGACGAGGGGCGACCATGACCGACCAGAGGGTTCCAAAGGGGGTTTTTGGGGAGGGTTTTTTTCAGGAGGGGTGGGTCCCCCAGGGGCTTCGCACTCCGTTGTAACGAGGTTCCGAGGACCCTGGGGGGCTCTCTGGAAAACCCCCTCCCCCAAAACCCCCTTTGGAACCCTCCGGACCAAGACTGAACGCGGAAACGCCGGGGTCGATCTCCGTCGGCGCCCATCTTGCTCTTGGCTCCATGGTCAATGCGTGGACCATCTTCGCGCGTCGGCGGCGGCCCGCATGGATCATGACCAAGCTCGGCGCCGACATAGACACGCGACAGATTCGTCACGGTCGTCGTAGTGGTGGGCGGGTGGCAAGGGGTGGGTGGGTGACCTCAATGGGGGGTGATGACAAGGGCCCCAAAGGGGCCCCATTTAGGGCCCCCTTAGGAGCCAGCAGGGG